AGCTTTGCATGCCATTGACGAGGTCAGTTCCGACCACCTGGGGATCAGATGTCCGAATACAAGCCCATGAACCGAGATAACTGAGAGACTTGGAAGGCGCTGTGGCAGGCTGCAGCGCTGCAGTTTGCAGGAACGTTCTTTTGCTTGGCGTCGCCCCTTTCGACTGTGCTTCTCAATCAGGGCACTCCGCAGAGTGCATGTCATGCTTGGACTCCACAGCCAGTTGCGATTTACATCCATCTTGCATACTTACAAGTCGCAACTTCAGCAGCACCTTGGCTTGATTGTAACGAATGCCCACAACCTGTCAGGGACATTCTCCTTGCCATGCAAACGAGATAACATGCTCAGGCACAGCTCTCTTCGAGAGCCCTGCGGAAGCGAATTTCAATCAGATCTGTAGCAGCCTCAGCCTCGCGGTACCGTCCAAGCCATCAGCCTTTCTTCAGTGCCTCTTCGCGACGTCGAACCCACCTCGGTATCGAGGCTCAACCTCAAGTTCACATCACTTGCCAAGCATGGACCGAGATTGTGGCTGGGCCAGCAAGGACCCAGCCAGCCCAAAACTTGGACCGTGCACCTGAACAGGATGCAGAGGGGCTTCCCTTTCTAGCATCTTTACATCCATGCCTGCTGGCGCCAAAACACCCTGTTCAATTCGGAGAAGAGCCTCACTGAAGTGCAAGGAAATCAGCATTTCCGCAGGGCGTTTTCGAACCTGCTCTGCTGCAGAAGCTTCCAGGTGATCCTGACACATCCGCAGGCTCCCTCAAACATGAGGAACATTAGATGAGGCCCATTCTACTTCTGTTCAGAAATACTGCTTCGCTGACAAGTAAACATGCAAAGATGCAGACACTTTTTTCACTGCCCGGTGCTGTTCCGGAACATGCTGCTGCAGAACACGTCCTTGTCAGACTCCTTCCGAGCAGAAGCAAAAGCAAGCTTCTTGCTTTTGCTTCATGGCTGCAGCTCTAGAAACTCGTCTTTTTGTTGCCATCGTCATCCTTGCTGACCACAACTGGCCTATGTCATCCTAAGGAATAACGTCCTGCATTCAGCGCATGCCCGCTCTTGGGCGCTCCGCAGCCCCTCACGCAGTATTCCATCACGAAAGAGTAGAAGCCGTCGTCATCCGGCAGCTGCATGCAGCTGCGAGCTTAACGCTTGCCATTGTAACAATCCCTTCCCGCGCTGTCTTTCCCAAGTATCCTCCCCACTATGGCACGCGGGAAAGTATGTGACTAGAGCTGACGTGGGCTGAATTGAGAGGGACATGGGCATCATTGCAAGCCCAAGGCAGTGCTTTTGTGGCCGCCTGCCAGTGGCCGAGCGGCCATTGCCTGCTTGCCAGCGGCTCAGGCAGTTGTGCTTCGTCCTCGTTGCTGAAAAGAGGAGTCACGAGTTATCTGCAAGCCCTTATGCTTGTGTTTTCGACTTCTAGCTTGAGCCCGCTGCTGCAAATAATCATGCTGCAGTGCTTCCCAGTGATTGCCAAGCCTTCCCTGCTCATCGAGGGCTTTCAGTTCTCGAAGGACCGGCAACGCCTGCGTGAGTGTTTGGAGCATTGGCCGGCGGAGGGCGGTTACACAACGTGGCGAAGTTTCCGCCTTGGGGTACTCGGCCTCCCTCTGCGCTTCACGCAATGCCTGACACATTTCCCGAGGGAACTACTTGTTCAAATGCATCTGCAGCTGGAATGTCACCTCAAGCGCGGCGCGAAGCTCCTGTTTCAGCACGAGTTCCCTGAGACTTGAAATGGCAGCTCCTGCGCTCCTCAAGCTTCGCCCGGTCCCCCGTCAGCGCACTTGCCTCGTTTGCCCCGCAGCGCGATCCTTCGGCCGGGTGTGCGCATTTCGCTGACTGCAAAAGAAATCCGTCTCTTGGCCGAGGTGGTCCTCGCAACTGAGCCGCGCACGTGCCCGGGCTCTCGGGGCTCGGGGCTTCCTTGTGATCTTTTTCTTTGGCGGCTCCATTTCCACCTTGTGCAGGGGATGTTCACATAGCAGATAAGGAAAAGGTGATAGCAAGAATTGAAGCGCAACAGAAATAGATGCTTCTCTAGCCTCAGAGCTCTCTGAGCTTGATGTGGTTGAACTGGACCTGCCAAGGAAATGGCTGTGGTGGGGAGGAGGTGATCCCTATAATGCTCTCAGTCAGAATCCCTTACAATAGTTCTTTTATTCATTATCCCGCTTGACGTAACCAAAAGCGTGCCTATTGCAAGTCTTACATGCCACGGTTGCTATTGTTGCACTTGATGCATGTCTCTTCAAATGCCGCGAACAACAGCGTGGACCATTCTTCTAATTGGCGTGTTATGCTTGCACTCACTGCTAACCGCTGCCAGTCTCTGCTAGTCCCTGCTAGTTGCGACTCTATGAGCAAGCCGCACAGAGATCCAGGCTCTGACGAGCTCGCGCTTGATGAGCTCGAGGAAACCACTGGAAGCCTTTCAGCACCGATGGCTCCACTTCATCCATGTGGAAGACTATTGGACCCGAAACATGTACAGCAGCAGCTGAACAGGGACTCTGCTCTAAGGAGGCGGCTCTGGCTTGATAACCCCATTGGCGGCTTTGGATACCTCCGGCTCAGTTGGCTCGGTACTCTGCGGCTTCACGTCGTCCTGCGCCTCACACCTGCTTCAAAAAAGCCACGGAGAAGTCTCAGAAACCAAAAGCCTGAGCCCTGCACCATGCTGGCCGGCTCCGCTTTTTGGGTTCCCGCTTTGGCTTTGTGGGCTTCGCCTGCGAAGCATGCGAAGCATGAGCTTGCAAGCTGCGAAGCGTTAAGAGTTTTCACCAACAAAGTTCGCAAGAAGTGCTCTACCACAAAGCTTCCTGACTCTGCGTTTTCAACGGCTTGTACACATGAGGAGCACGAGAAGATATCCTGTGCCGCACGCCTGCCTCGCACTTGGGAGCCTTGACCTTCTTCGGTTTGGCCTTTGGCTTTGCATTCGGTTTTGCCTTGGGCCCTGCCTGTGCCTCCGGCCTGACCATCACAAAAATGTCTGATGACAAAGGGATGTCGCCGGCACGGCCTGGCACCGAGCCAAAAGGCTGTCCAGGAGAAGCTGCCTTTTTTCCGATCCTTGCGAGCACCACGTGCCTGGAGAAGAAAGAAAAAACAATTTGGCCGTGAAGCTCTCTGATCTTGGGCTCCGACGGGGCAGCTGGAATTGGGAGGCTTGCAATGGGGTGCGGGTGCTGGCGCCGTTGGCGGTGAAGGCACTCTGCTTGCAGCTGCTGGACTGCTGGACGCTTGAGGACCTCGCTTTTGCAAGGTATGCAGCATGACTTGCTAACCAGCACCCGCTCAGCATCTGGCTTGGACGAGGCCTCAAACTCCCAAGCATGAGTCAGCGTGAAGCCGTGCACCATGAGAACCCTCCAGGCTCCCTGCGGTGGTGAAGATCCAGCTCTTGGGTACTGCTCACGTCCCAAATGGCCAGAACTCAGATACCACGCCGCATCACAAATCACATCTAGAATCTACAAGCTTGCCCAGCAATTGACTTTCACCAAACATGTCAACAAGGACATCACACAAGGAGTCGACTGACCCCCTGAGAGCGGGGCACCAGCTGGATGAGCCGCTTCTGCCAATGGAGCATTGGCAAAAATGCTCTCGACATGCCGGCATGACGTGTTTCCGGCAAATGCCATGTTCTGGTCCAATTCAATACAATTGATGCTGCTGCTCTGGGGCACTTGGATTCATTAGATGCCCAAGCCCTGCCTTGTCAACGGCATCATCATCCAGCACAAATCTCAAGGTGTCGCCTCGAGCCTCCAACCTGCTGCATGATACCAGTCCACATGGTTCGCAAATGAAAAACTCAGAGGCCGCCACCACGCCACAAGGTCTGCTTTCTGGAGCTTTGGCCAGTCCTGCAAGCAATGCGATTTACCTATCCCGTATCCCGTATGACGTCAGGACCAAAGGCTCCACGGGGCCTGGTTGCGGACGCGGCGGTCAAGCTCATCTGCAGGCGCGTTTTTCACTCGTGCAACTTCGACAGCGCAGCTCATGATTGGCCTTCGCTTTCTTTCAGGAGCCTCTTCAGGAGGACTACACCTTCCAAACCATCCTCCGAGGGCCACGGGATCCCGGACCTTGCCGACCTGGCATCATGCTGCAGATATCCGCGCACGCCTAAGCCTGGCCTAAGCCCTGCATTCTGCCATGTGCGCTGAGCGCACAGCAAGATTTTCAGCTCCGGCACCGACGGCATCTGCTTTGCTGTCTCCAGATTGTGCAGCAACTGCCGGAAGCTCGCAATGCTTTCCTGCACCTAGGAAGGCCACCCTGGAGGAATCATGCAGAGAATGACCAAAACTCAGGATCAGGCAGTTGTTTGTTGGAAGTTCTGCGGCTTGCTTCCAGCTTGGGCTGGCGCTCTGGAACTTGCTTGAAGTTGCGCCTGCAAAGCTGCGGCTGCTTTTAAGGCAAGAATCGGCTTCCAGACAGCCAAGCTATGCCAAGGCTCCGACATCCAGCTGCGCATCGTGGCCTCGGCGGCCTGCTTCGGAGCTGAGGATCTTGAATGCCTGAAGCCATACAATTTCACTTCGACGCAGCAGCTGGGGTCCTGGCCACGGGCCTCTGTCACCTTTCGAAACTGTTCAGCCGCATCCGGGGCATTGCACTTGTCTGGATGCCAACGCAAAGCCTGCCAACTGGAGGGCATATCCGGCTACACATTGCGCGAGAAAGTTCTGCCAGCTCTGGCAGACCAGCTAAAAAAATGTGGGCGCTTATGCTGGTAGCTGGCGAGAGCTCATGTGTGTTGGCTCGGCGCGCCTGCATCCGGTAGGCGCGCCGAATCTGACTTTCAGTTGCACCACCTGGGCCAAACAGCCAACAGAACCCGCTTGCATGACCTTTGATGGAGCTCTGCGACAGCACGAGCCCGCAAGGCAAGCAAGCCACGAAAGAGTACATTTTGGAACCGCACACACAAGGGCTTTTGGCGAGTCACACCATAGTCATCCTCATTCCTGGGTGTTGATCTTGTCAAGCCAGGCACTGAGTTGGAGCTGCGTCCGCTCCACCAAACCCTGGCGCTGCTGGGCCTCCTTTTGCATAAAAGCATCTAAGCTCGCCTGAACTTCTTTGATCTCATCTGCCTTTGCCGTCACAGCTTTCGTCATGGCATCCAACTCTGCGAAGAGCACATCATGCCGTGTCTGTAGGTGGCAAACCTCTGGGATCTGAACAACTACTGTCTAGGCAACTAAGCATTTTTGTGTGGTGGACAATGTCTATTGACTGCGAGCCATGAGGCCTACTACACCCAGTGTTTCCAAACAAGGCTTAAAACAAAATCGTGTGCAGTCATTGTCCATTGATGGATGGATTGGATGGATGGACGGATGGATGGATGGAGGGAGGGAGGGATAGAGGGAGGGATGGATGGGCTAGCAACCTGGCCTCCAGATTAGCTGCCAAATCTTGATGTTTTTGGTTCGCATCTTTTGTGTGTTGGATGCTTGTGGTCTTGGCTGTTACTGTTGCCCCAGGCTGTTAAGTGGGGCGGGAGAAATTCAGAGTATGACTGCTCCGGTATGCTGCGCACACGGCTCCATCAATATTCCTGCACCAGAGCCTACCCAACCAACCATCCTGTTGTACAGAAATCGTTTGTCATGTTGCGTTTCCATCGTTTTGGCTACGGGCTAGCTATGCAGAAAGCAGCATGCTAAACAACCAAGAACACAAAGGTGGACAGTGACCCATGTCTGTAGACTAGCTGCCAAAAAAGTCTGTGGTGATGCGACATTTCAAAATTTGCTGATTTAAATTCGTTCCAGCTTCAAATACTGGGCTAAACGACGTCCTTGCCAGCCGACAAGCCCTCGAGTAGTGCTAATTAGCCTAGCGATATGACAATCAGAACCTTAGCTATTGGCAAAATCCAAAAAGTGAGATCTTAACTCCAAATTAGACCCTTGATTTTTGGTTACCCCCCTTGTGTTGCAGTGTTGTTGTTCAAGTCTTGGGGCCTTCGTTTTGGGTCACCCCTTCGTTTTACAGGGTGTTGGCACGAGATCGCCCGAAGACTACTGACTGAAGTGTAGCATTTTGCCTGTCGCTCACATGCCATTCAACATTCGCACATCCTCGAAATTGCTCGTGCTTCATGAAAAGTGGATCACATATTTGGGGCATTGGGTTATTGGATGCTGAGCTTCCTCACTATGATAGTCTTGGGGGTAACAAGAAACTAGGCAAGGGAAACTGCTGACGTTGGGAATGTTGAACTTCAGACGTTTTGCGAGACTACTAGCACGCTCGCATGCGATTGACCCCTGGAGCCTGCAGGTGGGCCTCGAGCATTTCCTTGACCTGTTGCAGCATATTGGAGGACCTGGTCTCGTTGAGCTCAGCAGTGTTGATCTCCGTGTTCGGAGCGGCATCTTGGGGGTTGGTGCCGCGAAGAAGTGCATCGGTCATCGCCGCTGCTGCCGCAGCGGCTGTTGCCATCGCGGTGGAGGCCATGGGCTCCAAGCCCGAGGATGGTGCCGCACTATCAGACTGCAGAAAGTCAAAGACGGTCTTGACAAAGTCCTTGTACTTCAGGGCAAAGAGCATATCTTTCCCCGTGCTCTTCGTGCTCTGCGTATCCGCGCAGGCAAAGAACTCCAACATGCTTCTGAGCCGGCGCTCTTCGTCCGTGAGGCCTTGCTTGGCAAGCGGGGGCATCTTTGCCTGCGCGGGCGCGATAGGCGAAGCCATGGGCCCCACTGGCAGCGGCTTCGGCTCAACAGATGCCTTTGTCTGTGGCGGCTCCTTTGCTTTCGCTGCTGTCTTTGCGGTGGCAGCTGAGCGTGGGCCAGAACTTGCCTGTCTTTCACTTGCATACTTCGCAGCTAGCTCTTCCAGCTCTCGAAAAGGCTCCAGGCCACAAGCGTAACACTCTGAGGAGCTTTCAATACCCTGCTGGTCTTGTTCATCGAGCCTAGCAACAAGCCCACGCTTGAGGCCATAGGGGCTCAGGCCACGCTGGTTGCACAGCCAACGGAGCTCGGGGGCTCTCAGTGGCCCATAGTTGTCGCCGACTACCACCATTCGAGCTCAGCTACGTACTTGTAGTGGTCTACGTAGCAAAGCTGAGAGCCACAGTGCGCCACAGCGGCGCCATGAAGACTCACTGACTCACCCTCTGAACCAACTGCGTGCATCCCTCGCTTCCTTTCTGCGGGCCGGGCGGTGAACTCCAAGCTGATCATAGCAGCTCCTGTCTCGAATTGACGACATGGGCAACCTCACATCAACACAATTCTTGGTGCGAGTCCTCACTGGAATCCGTGGGACCTGAGATCAATCCTAGCGAAAGAGCCATCTGAATCTACATCCCTCCGAGATCCGAGATCGCAGCGTGAAGCGAAGCCATGGGACCGCCTGACCACAACACGGAGTGTGTGTGTATATATGTATATACACACATACATACATACATACATACATATAAAAAAGGACTGTACATCTATGGATGCACGGTCAAAATTCTACAGCTGGCTAGTGGACATGGGCTTGGGGATATCGCATTGAGTTGTCTTCCTTACGTTTTGCAGCACTTTCGGCTTTGGGAAAGGAATGAGCACTTAACACCTCTCCATCAGCTCGGCTGGCTGCATCATGTCCACTCAAGACATGATCTAGTGATGGGTAATTTTGACGGTTGCTCATATGCGACTATTTTCTTATAGGCGCGGCATATTGATTGGTTCATCTTTGTTTGTATGACTTATGAGGATTGCATCAGGATCATGTGTGGGTATATCGGGATTTTATAGGGATTCTTTCAGGCATGGGGCCCAAACAGAAACTGAGTTCATCTAAAGTTCATATAGCGTGACACTGCAAGGGCATCTGCCTACATTGAACTATGTTGTGATCGACATTCAATTCTAGGAGACAAGAGGCCTGCAATTGCCCGGCTGACGCCAACGGAGCATTCAAAAAGTCGTGCTTGAGCCACACAAACAAGGCAAAATCGCGCCTATATATCTCCAGAGCAATATGGAGCAAAGAAGGCATTGGCTGGCCTTATGCCCGTTCTGAAGTACTCCTCGGACCGTTGTGGATGATTTGACAAGCAGACAGAAGCATCTGGCATGCCATCGGCAGAGTTGCTCAGACAAAATGGCATGCAAGGCACCAAGGTTGGATTTTCATGACTTTCTCAAGCTGACGGAACAGTTGGCACTTGGCTTCCTGTACATACGAAGCCATGTCCGAGATGTCTCTCAAACCTGGAGAGCACGAGCCCAGCGACGAACTGGCCTTTCAGAGCCTTCAGTCGCCTGTTGCAGCACTTGCTGTGTGATCTGCTGGGCTTCCTTGCCTTTCCACCGGGAGCGAGCAACAGTCACGCCTGCACTCGCAGCACTGGCAGCACTCGCAGCTCTCACGGCAGAATGCTCGATAGGCTCGCCGGTGTGGACATAGCCAGCGAAGGATGACGGCGCTGCATCCAACTGCAGGGGGTCTGGTGCGAGGTCGAAGCGATACTGGTCCAGAAGCAAGCCACGCACGCGCTGCGCGTCAACCTCTTCCCGGAAGTATGAACCTGTGTTGTCCCCAACACAGGGGAGCCTGTACATCAGGAATTCGCGTCCCCCTGCACGGCATTGCCGAAACAACTCCTCGTTAAGGGGAGGGAAGACCGAACTAGACAACGTTGCCACCCTGCAGACCCCATCTACAGCCCAGTCTTGTTCCCAAGCTACCTGATGCCATCTATGGAAGCTCTTTCAACAGTCAGTCCTCTGCGGGCAGCTGCGCCACGCTGGGGCCAAGATTTTTGCTGCTGCAGTCCAAAACCATAAGCATGAAGTTGGATGTGCGCTGCGCAAGCTCCTCAAACAATTGCATAAAGTCAGGCTCAACCCAAAGCTGAGGATTCAAGTTGAGAATAACGAAGAGCTTCCGGTCCGTGGAAGCCAGCGTCCTCCTGAAGCGCTCCACGCAGCGTTGGAGGTACTGATAGTCCGAGTCAGCATGTAAAGGATCACGATGATTGAAGATCGTGCCCCGACCTACCCCAGCCATCATTGTCGAGTAAGTGCTATGGCCGATGAGCTTGCGCTCACGTGGCGCCGATCCCGGTTTCAGGCCGATCGCATCGAACACCGTGCTGTTTAGGAAATATTGGCTCTTGTCCATGAATAAATGAAAATCATCTTGCAGGCAATGGGCCACCATGGCTGCAGAGCTGAAGATCCAGTCAAATGGGCACGCGTAACGGCGTGCCCCCATCGCCTTGTAGACGGAAGACTGTGAACAGCGACATCCGAGTGAGATAACATGCTTAAATGGCTCTGGCTCGGGAGAGCGAGCCATGCCCTGGCAGTCCTACAAAGTACGAAGCAACTCCAAGTAATGAGACTCCCTTTCTCTGTTCGTCTACGTGTATATTTCTTGTTTTTAGAACTGTCCGCATGTGCAACTTCCCTGATGACCAGTTGATGCTGCAACAAGAACAATCAGTCCACGTATCCGACAGCAACCTGCAAGAGGCGAGCAGCAACTCCGGAAGCTTCCTCAATCAGCAAACCCGGGCCTTGCACGTGTTAGCATGCATCTTCTCTGCATGCAGCCACCTGGGTAAGGAGGAAAAGCTGCGTCTGGCAACGCAGCGGACAAGCTGCCTGGGAAATGTCTGCTCGATGGTGCACCTGCACGGAGATGTCTTCAAAGCACTTCCAAGTTGGGGCTTCAGCGGCCTTCTTGAGACTCTACATCATGAGTATCCGCCGAGGGTGGTAGTGCCGCAGTCCGGGCATGCCTGAGCAACGTGACAGGAATGGTGTTATCTTTGTTGTTTGTGACTACCATCGCTGCGAAGTAACCTTGACATACATGACTTCAACTGACCGTGCACCACATTGTCGATGCAGGCCAACCACTGAGCTCTTAGCGCCAGTCAGGGTCGTAGTACTGTCCAATCCCGATGCGAAAGTCCATGGAGACGCGCGTGTGTGCCGTCCGATTCGGCGGCACGAGATGCCGAACAAGGGTTCCGTGAAACATTGCCTGAGAGCCACATCAGAACTCCCAAGTAACGAGAATTTGTTCCAAGGAGGATCAAAAAAGCTCCCGGAGAACTCCGATTGTGCCGGGAATTCTGCCTGACCAGCGCCATCCCAAGAGCTAATCCTCTGAAAATTTGTTTGAAAAAGAACCATTCCGAATGAAGAATCCTCTGCCTTCTGAATTATCTCCTGCAGCACTGCAGGATACTCTCAGTGGGAACTCCCGGTGTCCCAAAAATCTAGGTCAACAGACCACTGGCCAAGCAAGGGGAAAATTCCCTTAACAGCAATGGCAACTATGACAGTGAAAGTTCTAATGTGAGCGGGTAGTAGTGCCATCAACAAAAACTTGTTGCTGAAGATCAAAAAAACTTGTTGAGTATCAAGACAAACTTGTTCTCGATCGAAAAAACTTTATGGTGGGAAAATGCGGAACTGTCTTCCCTTTTGGATTGCCCCGGCCATCAAAAAAAAATCAAAAAAACTTGTTAGTGAAACTAGGAACCCTCACAAGGATCGTGGGGGTTTAGATCGTTATCCTCCCAACTGTCGTCGCTTTTACCCCTTCAGAAACCCCCCTTCCATGGTCACAAAGGCCTATGGTAGGGAGAAAAGCCGGCTTTTTTCCCAGAGGTCCCTAGGTCCCAGAGGACCCAAAAGTCCTTAGGAAAAAAAGCCAGGGAGCACCTGGCTTTTTTCCTAGGGTCATAAGTCTGGTGAGCCACCTCGCTCTGGTTACCCCGGTGCCGGGTGGTTACCCCGGTGCTGGGCGGCTGCCTGTAATTTCTACTAAAAGAAAGATATCGAAAATCTATTTCTGGAAAGGAAATCCATAATCAGATTCACATATTAGAAGAATGAACCCCGCATAGATTCGCGTAAAATAAAGGAAATAGAAAAAATGATTCTTGAAAAAACATGTTTGATATCTTTGTTCGGCCAGCATCATTCAGCATCGCCGCCCCGCCCCCCCCCCCTCCGTGGTGACGTCCCAAGAAAGGCTACAACCCGCAATGGCCCTGCACTTACCACTGGCTGAATTTTCACCTAATAGTTAGGGAAAAAAGCCAGGACCGTGGAAGGGTGATCTCAGAACGTCTGAATGTCTCGGATTTCTAAAATGTCAACAGTCAGGGATTGCAGGGGTCCGGGTCGCAATCCTCGTAACTGCTGTCGCTTTTTAACCCTCGGATCCTCCTGGAACTTGAAGTGCTGGCAGTCACACGAATCGTGGGGGTCGGAGTCACGATGCTCGTATAACTGTCGTCGCTTTAGAACCCCCATTTGCAAGCGAAATAAGCGGAACAGCCCCCTAGTGCAAACACAGCCATTACTGCCAACATGGTGACCACCTGATCCTTGTCATTTCTTGCAATCATGGATGGCCTCAAGGGATATTTCACGAGCGCCCGTGGTCCTAGTAGGTCCCTGCAGGGGAGGTTTGCGGCCGCCTAGAGATCTCTCGGGATTTTGCAGGAGTCAAGAAGGGATCAATCGTCGCTGCCTGAAGATTTCTATGGCCGTATAGAGCGCATAGGGCATCTAGAGTAATCAACGAAACATTAAGAGCTACCCACGCTAAACCCGATGTAGGCCTGCTTCCATTTGATGTTCCAGCTTGTTACACTTGATCAGCTAGGACTCTAAGATGCCTGAGCTGCGAAGTAGTGCCCGTGTCCACGATCGATTGGCTATCGATTGACACCATGCTGGCTTCGAGGACAACATGTTGGAGTTTCTGGCAACAATCGCAGGACTCTCAATACTGCCCATTGTAGCCCTCCATGTATCTTTAAGGTCCGTAAAGGCATCCTGCTTGGGAAATCCTAACCCGTCTTTCCTTCCTTCCCTTCCTCCCTACTTCCTTGCTTCCTTCCTCCGTTCCTTCGTTCCTTCGTTCCCTCGTCCTCCCCCTCCGTCTTCCCCTCCTTCCTTCCTTCCTTCCTTCCTTCCTGCCTGCGCTCCTTCCTTGCTTCCTTCCCACCCTCTGGCTTTCTGTGTCTATATTTCAAGCGGAAAGCTTTTTTGATCCGGAAAGAATTGTTTTGTGATCTGCCTTCCTTCTTTCCTTCCCGCACTCTTGCCTGTTCTGTTCATACGTCAAGCGGAAAGTTTTTGTTGATCCGGAAAAGTTTTTTTTGATCCGGAAAAGATCAGTTGAGAGAGCGTGCATTTGAGTCCCGGAATGAAAAGCAGACAGTCAGACGCAAAAGTCAGACAGTCAGACCCTGGGGCAGACAGTAAGACACGAAAAGGCAGACAGTCAGATGTCAAAAGACCTACAAATGACTTTCTGAGTTTTGCGCCTACAAATGAGTGTCTGACTGTCTGAGTGTCTGACTGTCTGGCTGTCTGGCTGTCTGAGTGTCTGAGTGTGATTGTCTGCTACGCGGTTCAGGCACCATGCCGCGACCTCAATCAGTTTTTGCTTCACGAAAAGTGTTTTTTTGATAGGCATCCGGGTGGTGGTGCCATGGAAGTTGGCACAAGCGGCGGTGGCCGTGGCGGTGGCACAAGCTGCGGCAGAACAACAGCTCCTGCACTGGGTCCCTTGCGATCTCGCCTGGTCTGATTTCCATGGGATGGAAATCGCCCTGTTGTGGCGAAGACTCGATCCAAAGGGTGGTCCTATCAAAATCATAAGGTCGTTTTTAAGGTCAGGCTGCATGACGCTCCCAGCGCATTCTCCTGGTGAGGCTATACTCCGTCAAAGGCATCCAGAAATTCACCTCGCCCGGCTGGTGGCCATACTTCTCATCCGCGTGCAGCTGTCGCGCCTGCCTAGCCACGGATGCAAATCATGCAAGTGCTTCTTGATTTCTCTGAACTATTAACTGGAATCCTGCAACAGAAGTCAACATCTTCAGATGCAAAAGTTGCGGAAGCTCAGGGTTGGTGCGAGCATCTGCCCAGCGCGCCTGCTACGCCCTGGCTGCAGCCGAAGCGTGGGGGGATGCTGACAATGGAAAGCAACTTGCTCCTCCTCGCCCAGCTTTCCCCTGCAAAGCACGCCCAGTTCAGGCACGAGTGCTTGGAACTCTCATGACATCAGCATGGTTGTGCTATGATGCAACACTAATTTAGGCGTGATTGTTCTGTTGGCTTTTGATGTATTGCCAGGCGCCGCTAGGAATTCTGTAGAACAAAATGTGAGGACACCCCAAACGCGAGCTCAATGCCGAAGTTTGAGGACGCTCTCTGCGGGAGCTCCGATTAGTGTCAAGATGTGAAGAAGCTCCATTTTGCGCTGAAATCTGCGGATGTTCCACGCGAAAGCTCCAAGGTGGGAAAGCTTTATGTGAGAGCTCAATTTGGAGTCGGAGTTTGGGCAAGCTCCATGCAAAAAATTGGATTTCACGAGTTGAGCAAACTCCAAGCGAGAGCTCAATCTGAGGACGCTCCCTGCAAGAGCTCAATAAATTATAGCGATATAAGTGGTAGTAGCAGAAAAACGACAGCATTCTAATACTTGCAAAACATGCATGATGATGAGAACAAATAAGTTCTGAATGAATACTGTGTGGCCAAGTATTGCATATGTGTCAACAACTGCCGGGGAGGGGTTTGGGGGGGCCTCCCCCCTTGCACTTACATAACATGCATGAAGACAAGAACATGCAATTGATGATGCAAGTCGGTCTGATTTGCAAAGCATTGTCTTGATGTTCCTCGGAAGTACAGAGCCGAAAAGAATGATGGTAACACGCAAGTACGCATACGAATACTGATGCTAAGTACTGATTGTAATACCAAAACTGATGCTAATATGATCTAATATGATGAGAGCTTAGACCGACATCAATGGCACGGCAACAGCAACAGCAGCACGAAGGCAACAGGAATAATAACAGCATTGCGATACAAATGGCAATGGTCATGATGATAAAGATGATCGGTCGTTATCATGGCGTAGTTGTAAGAATAATTACATGGCGGCAGCCAAAAAATTCAGAATGAAGATTGCAAGTTTGAGAAGCCTTGAGTATAAGGCCAGGAGCTTTAAGGAATGCCAAGAAGCCAGGAGGCCAAAAAAATGAGAAGCAGAAAACCAGCTAAAATGGGACGAAGCCAGGAAGCCGAGAAGCTGTCCAAGACCCTCAAAACAAAAAAAGACACACAACAACAGTAAATCCTTGTACTGTATTATATCCAGAAGTGCAGAACCCTGCTTGCCTCAGTATATCCTCCGAGGCCGGAGGCCTGGGGTGTTAGATCTAAGTAAGGGCCCATACCAGGGACAAGTAAGGGGACGAACCACACCAACAGCTTGAGTTTGATGTGCATCGGGCTTTCTCTTCAGGTTTCTGGTCATTTTGCAAGTCCTGCCCAGTTTCTTTCCCGGAGCCCTCCCTCTTCCAGACCTTCCCGGTCCGCCGCGCACTCGTCACATGCATCAGCCATGCTTCATGACTGCACATGGATCCACAATCCTTTCATGCATCTGACGCTACTCTCCGGTACAGGGGCAGTGCTACACGCCCACTAACAACACCCCGGACCCCCCTGTATTATGTTGGGATTATCATTCTCTCGTCCACATTAACACGGCCTTAGGTGGGGAACGATGACTTCCTCGACGAGCCGGTCGTAGGTTCTCAGGAACTCCGGGCATCCGAGCAAGCAACGTCGCCAGGTCTTCTCGTATTTGAAGGAGCTGAAGACCTTCTCCTCACCCAGAACTGCCATGAGCCCAAATCTGAACACTAGCCCAGCCACAATTTCTGCCCTTGCCTCAGCTTGGAATTGCTCCAGGGATGGACTTCCAACAAAGCAGCCGAAACCCAGCAGCGGCCCCGCTTCTGCCAGGAGCCCGGTGGCCAAGCCTGCAGGTAAAGCTTCAAAAGCCCCAAGAGTGGAAACTGCTTTGTTCTCCCCACATCCAGCTTGCCGCCTCTAAGATCGTAACGGTTGCTGTCGAAGCTCAGCACTTGTTCTTTACGCAGGCCTCAGCTGCTCATCGAAAGCATCTTGAAGAAGCGACTTCAACTCCCAGACTCAGCCAGCGCGCAGGGAGGCAGGCAGGCAGCATTTTTCTTATGCTTAGGCGGTGCCGACTTCCTTGCCTACGGAGCCGTTGGAACTGGTGCCACTGCCTTCAAAATGTGGAACAGCCGAGAACAGCAGCATCGGATTTCAGACTCAATCTGACCTCATAGATGTTAGGTCAATTACCAAAAACGCTGGCATGGCATTTTTCAGCCCGCGTTCTGAGACCCAGAGCGAGGGCTCTGAGTTAAGCTCCCGAGCGCTTCAACGCCTGAATGGCCAGATTAGCAGCCTTTTGCCCCGAAAGCAGCATTGCACCAAATGTAGGCCCCATTCGATTGCACCCACGAGCTTCAGCCACCTCCATGCCGGCGAAGATCAAGCCGGGCACGACCTCGCTAGTCATCTGTACCACGGAGTCCTGGCAAAAGAAAAGGCGGGATGTCCCACAGCAATTGGCCTAGCGCAGCACTCACACATTGGGACTTGAGCCCGCACCTCAGCAGTGTTCATGTCCAGGGCACCCATGCCTGGCAGTCCAGCAGGTAGCGCCCCCAGGGACTCCAGGCGCTTGGCCGAGCTTGCACCCATGGGGCCGTCATGACCCGTGGCAGTCACCACCACCTTCGCCTCCATCACCTCCAGACACTACAAGTTGCAACAGATCAAAACAAACACAAGATGCAACAACGGTGTGACACGAATTCTTGGTGCAGAAAAGCAAATAAAGAATGTGCTCGCCTGCGGGTCCATACAGGATTGCGTGTCATGGTTCTGGGTCACCAATGACCAGTTCGTGACAACCTGAGCAGCTGAGGTGCCCCGCACGGGAAAACCACAGATTTGCAAACAGCAAATGGTAAACACACGTCGCTAAATCAGGTAGATGACGCCACGAACTGCCACGCCCTCTGTTTCCTGCCGGACCAGTAGGTCCTCCACAGCTACAGCGTTGAAGAGCTTGACGTTGGGCGCCAGTAGGGCCTTTCGCAGGACGGATGACATGAAAAGGGCCGCGTGCTTGACAACGACGTAATCGCCCTGGTCGTCGTAAGGAACCTCCAACTCATCCAAAAACTCGTCGGCTGGCTTGCGCACAACCATTGAGCTCATCAGCTGTCCGCCCAGCCAACAACCACCGCCGGGAGCAACATTCTGCTCCAGGATGGCTACCTTGATGTTGGGGTGCTTGGTGAGCTCATAAGCACATGACAGCCCTGCTGAGCCAGCGCCAACGATCACAACATCCGTCTCGGCATAGTCAAGCATTTCGGACATGTAGCGCTGGGTCATCTCACGGCTGACTGTGCTTTCACGGATGGGTGTGAACTGCATCGCGTCAAACATGGCCAGCTTGTTGGCCACATAAGCTGCTGGATCCGAAGGCGTTGCCGACACCAATGCGGACTTCCAACGGGGGTTGCTGAGCCGTGCTGGTTGCACCAGGCGGCGCACGCTTGAGGCAACACGAGGAGCGAACATCTCGAAACTAGCAGGCCAAATCCCTTCGCAGGTATTACCCTGATCAGGTTCAACGGTCTGTTCTCAGCTCAGCTGCGGTTGGCAGCCAGCACCCGTCAGGCCTACTTGATCCAAATGCACTGGTGAAGGTGGCAGGTGGAAGTCAACACAATGTGCAAAATCTTTGCAACTTAAAGCTGGGAGCCAAGCAGCATTTTCATATGCTCATATCTCGCGTCTCGGGAAAAGCCCGTCATCAAACTAAGACATTGTTAGACTATGCTGGAGCATGCTTCACAGGACTCATCTTCTGAGGAAGCCTTTGGCTTTCCGCTGAGCGGAAATCGTCAGAGGGCCCTTGATCCTCCATTTCCATGGCTGGCCCTGATAGCCCTTGGTCTGTGGGCTGGCTGTGCCAGGTGTCCAGACGCGCCATCGGGTAACTGGGCTTGCTGGGCTTGGACTTGCTGGACCGCGAGCTGGCTTCCATTGCCGCATCCTTGAGAAAGGCGTTTGGCTCCAAGAGAAGCCGAAAGAACTCTGCTTGGAACTGGAACTGCGTGTTGGGGCTAGGCGTAAGCAGGCTTCATAGGCTTCGGCCAGCTCGGTGAAACTCTCGGACCTGCAAGTGAGCAAGAGAACTGCCAAACAGGTGGAATGAAAACCTTGCAGCCAAAAGGCTTTGTTCCACCAGGACACACATCAGGATGCAGGCTGCGAGCCAACTCATGGTACCGCAGCTTCAGTTCCTCTTTGGATGCTTGCGGGGTCAGCCCCAAGACTTCATGGCAGCTGCGCAATCCACGAAGCACCATGGCCCGCCACATGATGTGCAAACTTCTCCAAGGCACTTTGGCCACAACCTTGCGTGGGAATATGAGCCACGGGGTTTTTAGCAACTGCTCAAACTGCTGACATGCAATGCCACCACACACAACTCCGTGTTCCGCAAGACATGTAAGTTCGTCAAACACACGCATGCAAGCATTTTAACCACCTTGAAACTAGCGCTGCCGAGTACTTCTGGAACTGCGTCGGCGTGGGCAATTCATGCACAAGCCAGCGGCCCTTGTCGGGTGGATGCACTTCCTTTTCTGGACAACTTCGGCAAGCACTGCGACTGCTTTCCAATGCGTCTGGTTATCATCCTGGACAGCCTCCAGCTGTAGCTTTTGACCCCGCATCAATAAAGCCCCATCAGACAGTTGTGGTTCCACAAGAACAACCCGTGATTGTAACGGGGAAAGCTGCGCAGCTTCCAAAGACAGTCTGACTGATGGCCAGCCATTGCCTGCGAAACCCGTGATAACCCCAGTCAGCTGCGCAGATGTCATGCTGCGGGCGACTTTTTCAGCAGCGGCTGGTGAAGATGTTTGCGGAAACTTCTCTATCTCTTGCACGATCCACCTGCGAGTTTCGTGCATTAGCGCCACACCATGAAAAGAGTGTCCAACGAGGAGGCGCTGTCCCATCAAGACGGCGGGCACGGCCCGTGCACCTTCCACGGAAACACGCAGCGGCCGAGCCCATGATATCGGCCACCTTATGGCCCACATGGCATGCTGAACTCCAATGGAAGACTGAAGCACCAATATGTTCTGGTGACCTACTCTATCTGAATTGCGCAGGGTTTGCGATTTGGGTTTGAGCATGCTGGGCAAAGAGCAACGGAACATCGTGACAACGGCGAACTGTTGCTGTGAGCAAGCACTTCTTGCATCTGAGGTGCTGCTGGGCAAAGGCCCTTCCACTTGCATTCGCTGTTGTGGCCTGGCCAACCGTCAGGAAATATACACGATGAAACATCAAATGTTCAAGGCAACAACTTCGTTTGATCGTGATTCATGCATGGCCGCCTGGTGTCATTGTAGTGACTGACATCAGCCCCATGCTCCAATCCAACTTCCTCCAAACAACTTTCCGCGCAGGCACAGGAGCGTGACAGGAGTTGTGTTCAAAAACTTGGTTTGTAGATTATTTGTTGAATATGACGTGTAAAAAAATCTGGGCTTTCGACAAGACATAGAAATTTCTGCCACGCATCATCACGCAGCCCAACACTAAACCGTTGAAGACTTGGCAAAGCACAGACGGCATCAAAAAGCACAGCAAAAACCCAGCCCAGAAAGCGCACAAACGGTGCCAAAATTTCATGCCATGGTATCAAAAGAAAGAATAACTTCCAGTCCAGACATGCATGAATCCAAGAACCATCAGTAACCAGGATCTACGTCGACCGTCCCACTTGCGAGCGCTTGCACAGGCGGACCTGAAAAACAACATTGCGGCGCAGCAATGTTTGCTCGCGTTTGATATTTTGAAACACCCACACCCCCGTTTGTGGCCACGATTGGGTGATGCCGACACGTTTTTGCCAAAGTCAACTGCTCCCAATAGAAACACTGTGTCGTGGAACACATCGCAACACAACTGATTGCCTTTCAAAACAAGAAAAATCTTAAACATGTGTGTTTATGCCCGCACCACAAAACAGCAGTAAGCTTTCTGTTCCATCAAGCAGCATTCAGCCCCTGCATCGCAATACAGTTGGGCGAGGTATAGACACTCGACTCAACCTTTGATATCTTGTCTATCACTGCAATTCCGGAGGTGCCGGGACAACATTTCAAAACTACATTGGTGATCAGGGCTGCAAGGGCAGCTTCGACTGGCGTCAGGATATCCCCACCAAAAAAAAAAACATAACCTTTGTAAAGCTAATGTAATGGCATGATGTGATGTGATTATATTTGGCATCGCCTATAGAGCGATGCCAAGGATACGAATTGATATGAACATGTTTCCTGTTTTACACACCCGCCTTTCTCCACACGCTGTCAGTCCCAAGTCTCCCTTTGTAGCGCCCCAAGATCAGAATCGCGCTTGCGACACCGGAGACTGGCCGGTAAAAAACCAGTCCACCGAAGCCACAACGCGCTGGCGCCGCGCTGGCGCCGCGCCGTTGGTGCTTTTGTTCTTGCTACCCAGAAACCCCGTGCCCAACACGTCCCTGCGGTCGCAACATGCTGGCGCCATTTGGGCTGCTGCCGCGTACAATTCCGCCTTCAGCCTGTTGGCCTGTCCTGTTGTTGCTGCTGCTGCTGTGGTTGCGGCGAAGCGCCAGTGGGGCTGCCCCCGCGCAAGACCCCTTCGGGCTTCATTGTGCCATGATGCACCATGAAGCCGCGGCTGTTGCCTTGGCGAAGCCCCTCCCAGCTGCCCGGCCAGGCACCTTGCTTGCGCAACCGGCTGCATCTGGGGTGCCTGGCCCAGCTCCGTTCGCAAGCAAATTCCAGCCGTGACGCCTGAGATGCCTTCCGTGTCTGCTTGGATGACGGGACACGTGACCACAATGAGTGGTTGGCCGCGCTGTGTGCGGCTGAGGGCATCGAGGCCTCGCAACGGCTGCCAAAACTCCCAACGGTCCGCCACAGTGTTGCAGACTCGGGGGGGCATTTGGCCGACCACGATTATGCCCAGTTCCGCTGGCATTGATGGCAGCACCGGTGCCTGCCCCGCTGTGTGTGCGTCGGCTACACAAAGGCCCGCCAATCGGTGCTGCGCAGTCCCACCAAATTATTCGTGCACACAACTGTATGGGATCTTGCACCGGAAGCTTTTTTGACGTTGAGTGCGCAGCAGCGTCTCCGAAGCCTAGCGGTCCCGTAGACAGGCCATTTGGCCCGGCTGTAAGCTGTAGCAAGCTACATCTACCTCAGGAAAAATTAAGAAACAAATTAGACTACCCGATACGAAATCTCAACAGCAGTCAAGCAAAAGAATTGCCCGCTCCGAAATGCAGCAGCAACTTTCAGCAATATACAGGTTTCAGTCTAAGCTAGTCCGAGGCAGCGCATCCACGTCCCAGCAAGCCTTGGGATGATGTTACCTCCCTGTGTCAAACGTACTTTAAACACTGTACAAGTGACAGAGCACCCATATCCCAGTAAAACTTAGGGCGGTGATATCACAACTGTTCACTCAAGACAGAGCACCCATGTCCCAGCAAAACTTGAGATGGTGTTACAATTGTTGGCCAACTATCATGTTGCATGGATAGCAGCCCTCTGCAATCCCCATTTCATCGCAAACTTTTCAAGGAAAGATTGTCTGCCCTGCGCATCCAAAATTCTGACAGCGAAAACAGTCAAGCGAACATACAACGGGTTTTCCAGAATGCAATGTGCGCAATCACATGCGATGCCTTCAGAAAAGCTGAAAACGGCTGGCCAATCGACTGAAAACCATCAGAAATGTTGCAATAAGCCAGGAATGTTCAGGACTGCAACCATCATTCCAAGATGCACTGAGGAGGCTGAGATCATTCTCAGCTATGGGTCTTGACCACGCTGTTTGTATGGTGTTCCTCGTGCATTGCTGCTGCCCAAATTCCAAAGCAAGCTCGTTGTGTTCGGTGTTGAGCTTGGGGGAC